TGGGCACTCATGGGACAACTCGGATCTCCTTGATCGCCATTTAAGCGTCATACCTCAGTTCAACACTTTTTTCCCGGTCTCAGAACGGAATAGGATTTGTCGAACAACCTTTGGACTTGCCTCCTATGGATTCGGATAACAACCGTGCCTGATGCAGCAACCGGGTCAACACAGTTGGGATGTACATCAGCAGAAGGGCCGGGGGGGCTCGCATCCTTCACCGACACCGCACCATCCTGGCCATCACCCTGAGCGCTCCCACAGGCAGTTTCAGCGTCACTTGGTACAGCCAGTCCTCCACCATGACTCGGCTCCAACTGGCGTTCTATGGCAGCAACTCTGCTGTCCATGGTCGCAGCCACAGCACGCAGGTCCTCACCAATATCTGCCTGAACTTCCACTACGTGTCTTAACGCGCAAACCTCGCTGTGCAGTCGCTCCATCTTGCTCAGCAGGTTGGACACATCCAGGTAGTGGGAGACAAAACGGGGGATGTTTTCACCACACTCATTTAGCTTTTTTAGACAGCTTTTGATATTGTTTGCATCCTTCTGGTTGCCTTTAAAGGCCACACACCGCTGCTTGGTTTCAGGACAGACTTCAAACAACGTCTTTTTAGAAGTCTCGATCCATTCGGAATCGAAGGTGTTAAAGGCTACAAGGACTAGCTCCTCCTGGGTCATAGTTTTAATTTGAACCGCCAGGGAGTTGAGTAACTCATCCTCTACAATAACTAGGCCGTCAACAGTCTTGTATATTGTAGGTTTTAATCGAGGCCGGTGGTTTGAATCAGGAGCTACCGAGCCACGACACACACCATCAGCCATATTGGACACACACTGTCATTTGTCTGTATTGTTTGTCCGCAACTTTCTACCAGGAGATTGTCAGACCTGTTCAGTGTTTTGCTGAAAGTCTACCAGAAAAGAAAAGTAAAATCTTGCATTGAAATGTTTTCACTAAAGGTGTTCCCCTGGGATCTGTCACTGGCTGTGTTGCTTTCCCTTATAACTAAAGATCTATAGAAACTGAAGATAGGTCGGAGATGAATTTGGCCACGTTTTATTATTCTTTTAGAAAAATCTGTTTCAATGTGTTTCTAATGGAAAACCACTTGATGGTGGTTTTCCAGTAGAAACACATTGATAGGAAACGTCCGTATTGAAGGGTTATGTAGGTCATGTTGGACATGTAGGTCAAACATGTTGCTAATATATATCAATGGGACACAAAATGGGAAAACCCTATTTTATTTCTTTAGTGTACTCTGTAAACTTAAAAGAAAACACCATTGAAGGTTTGCTGTTGTTTTGATACTGTAAAGCAGTTTACAACTTAAAAGTGTGAATCTGACATAATTTTAAAAAAAAGTTTTTAAATATAATTCAACATATTATAGGTTCTCAAATATAATCAAATGTGTATTTTAGCAGCTTTGTGTTTAATTTGTAGTTATACTTACAATGCATGTGCAATTCCAGTTGTCTCTTTCCAGAGTACAGGAACAGTAGTATAGTTCTTAATATAAAGACCCAGTGTGTCTTTTTGTTGTAGCTTTGCGGACATGCTGGAGCAGGCGGACGACATGGCCATCGACATTCCCCACATCTGGCTGTACCTGGCCGAGCTGCTCAGCCCCGTGCTGAAGGAGGGGGGCTTCTCTATGAGAGGGCTCTTTAGGTTAGTCATTTACTCCAAAACTAAAAGAGAACATATAATACAAATGAACTCAAATGTGGTGCATTTGCTCAGGATAAAATGTGACCACTTGGCTCACTGTGCACAGGGTTGGTGGAGGAAGTAGCTAAGATTTTTTTACTTTGTTTATCGTCACTGGACATCTGATCAATATTTTCATAATGAACAAAAATACTGAGTTGATACTTTACTTTTTTCTAGCTTATGTTATGGTTTCCTGTGCTCATTTCCGAGATACATTTTTAGTCCTGTTTTGGACACATTTTAAGTTTGAACAGGAACTTAGAGTTGCACAGTATAATGTATTAAGCGTGAGTGTCCTAATGTGTTATTTAACTTCCCCATTCTTCTGTATGAGTGAAAGGGAGGATTGCATGTAATCTGTGGTCTTGGTCTGTTCACAGTGAATTAAGCAAACCTTTGCTTCCTGTGGGAAGAGCTGGGATCTTAATTTCTGAAATACTGCACATACTATGCAAACAAATGGTAAGCAACACTTTATTTTCAATTTTGTAATGATGTTACCTGCTTTCATTATGGAATGGACTTCTGGGTATTATTCAACAGGTTATTTTGCCGTTTGGATTTGTAGCCTGTTTTGGTACATTTGGCTTTCGGCCTGTCCTGGACACCAGAAAGAAATGAGTTGTTTCAGAGAACAGATGTGCGATGTTGTCTCTTTGGTCTCCACAGAGCCATAGGACTGTGGGCTCTTTGTGGAGGGAATCTGGCCTCAACTGGACCGACTTCCTGCCAGAGGGGGAGGATGTCCAGGCTTTCATCTCACAACAGGTTGGTTTTTGTATAATTGTATTTTTACTGAGTTACAAAGTTTCATATCTTTAAAAAAAAAATATATATATATATTAGAACTATATATATATATACTACTGGTATTAGGGATGTGCTTTCGCTCGCATCACTGAGGACGATGCGATGCGCATCTCGATACGTTGCCACTATACGATAAATTAACGATACATTTGAAACACCAGGCGATACAATTCGATTCACCCCTGTTGCGATACAGTTCGATACGATTTGATTCAACATTATGCGATACGATTTGATTCAACGTTATGCGATACGGGGCGATACGATGCGATTCAACACAATGCAGAATAATGATACTTCAATATGGCACGACAGAGGATTTTTGTTTCATTCCTCATATGCAGCAAATCATACATTAACAAAAAAGTGCTTTACATATTTGGTTCTCTCTACTAGTACTGCACAATTGTATAACACCTCACAGTTAAACAATTTAAGGATGCATTGCCCATGATTAACAATGTGCAAATAACAACTACCATAGTGAATGCCCATACAGCTGCCTGCCTGATGTGCTTAACACTCATCCATAGGCTAACTCACCAGTGAGCAGAAAGCAGTGGTTTCTATATGAACAAGAAAGAATAAAAATAACCTTTCACAAACAGCTCTATCATAACTGCTTACAGTAGGGAAGACATTTAAACTATGATTGGCAGTCACAGGCTGTTGTAAACTAAACACCTCTCTCTCTGACAGAACACCTCACTGAGTGATTGAACTCATATGTCTAACTTTCAGGTTTCTCTTTTCAGCCGCAGACCCCATGTCGCCTCTTTATGTGCGTCGCTAAGTTCCTCGTACTACTTGTGTACTTTAAAGCGGCACGGCATCGTTAACAATTTTTCAAGTTGACCGTCTTTCTTGAACAATCCGAAGTGCTGCCAAACGTTTGATTTGTAGGTATGTTTCAGTGCGCTTTGTTTCTCTTTCTCCTCGACTTCCATGTGTGTTGATAACTGAGACACTCGGCCTCCGTAGTGCGAAGCAGAGATCAAAGATCGCCTCTGCTGAGTGCTGACGAGAGGATATTATATGAATGAATCGCTTTTTTACCGATGCAAAGACGCTACAATCGATGCATCGCGAGTTCAACCCAAACTGTAGCCGATGTGCACTCTTTCAACCGGTGCACTCGCATCTTGAACGTTTATGCCGGTGCACCGATGCGAATCGGTGTATCTTAACATCCCTAATATATATATATATTTATATTGTTTTTAAATACAATATTATAATGAACAAAATAATGAATACATACAAATATAATCAATAATAAATACATTTAATTAAGGAACCACAGGAAGACATGAAACAACAAAAATGTGCTGTAAAACAGTTGTCGTGACATAATATTGCTTAAAATGGTACTGAGTGTTTCCTCAGATGTTTGGATGCTGGGTGATTAGATTTTTGTGGCTCCACTCTATCTGCAGAGCTTCATCAAATGTGCCTCATATATTTGAAATGGTTTCTCCTTATTCCTGTCTTCTGATATTGCTTTTTCAATGTTCAAGTAACATTTCATTCACTTTTTCCACTTTACAGTTTTCTTAATCGTATTGAATCCCAATAAGTCACCATATTCCCGTCCCCTTCTCCATCGTTTCTCCTCCACCTTCTTCTTTCCATTTCCTGATTATGTTTTTTTTTTGCACTTTCCCATCATACTGATGTCCTCTCGTCTTAATACAGAAACTCCAGTTCGTTCTGTCGGACGGCTCCAGTCCGGAGACGGCTCTGTCCGGAAGGATCTACTCTCCTGAGGAGCTGAGCCAGCAGCTGGAGAGACTCCTCCTGGAGGACATGGCCAGCGACGAGCAGATCTTTGACTGGGTAGAGGTAAGAGAAGTGGCAAAGAAAAACATTAAACCTTGTAAGCTGTGTGCCTTAATTCAGAGGGGTGGTCCTTTTATCAGTATGTGCTTTGTCTCTATATTTAACATGCTAGCTAGTTATTATCTGCTATGTCACTTTTGCTGTAATGTTGTACATTTCCCGGCTGAGTGACTAATAAAGGAATTCTGATTATCAATGACCTATAGAACTCTGGCACTGAACTTTTTCATAGGCAGTTTTCAAAGCCATGTGAAACTGTATGTGTGTGTTTTGTCTTTCTCCCCCAGGCAAACCTAGATGACTCTCAGATGAGCTCGTCCCCCTTCCTGAGGGCTCTGATGACAGCTGTGTGTAAGGCAGCAGTGAAAGGTAAGCACTCCACCACCTGGAGGAGAGACTCGTCTAATTTTTAAAAATGGCGCCGCTGATTGCAATTTTTACTCTGTGCCAAACGTGCGCTCACTCTGCCTCTCGCTTCACCAAACAGATGATAACACCAACTGTCGAGTGGACACGGCCATCATCCAGAGGAGATTGCCTGTATTACTCAAGTACCTTAACTCAGACACTGAGCGACAGCTGCAAGCACTTTATGCACTTCAGATGCTGATCGTCGCACTTGATCAGCCTCCAAGTAAGTGCTGCGTCTCAGCTTCATCAAGAGGAGGTGGGAGGAGGAAACTAAGATTTATATTCCTTCAGTTTAGTTTTTTGAGTAGTTTTTCAAGTTATAACATTCAAATACACATAATAAATCAAATGTATAGTCTTTCATTTTTAAGTTGCGTCAAACCATATCAAGTTTTTCCTGAGCTAAAATGTTATTACACCTTTTTAAATGAAATTTTAAAAACTAAAACATATATATGCATAATAATCCCAAACCACATTAGTGTTCATACCTGGTTTTTATATTTGTTAATGCAATCATAGTACCGATCATGACCAGTAAATGGATGTCCGCATGTCATATCTACTGTATTTCCACTACAACAAACATTAGGAACTATCCTCAGAGAGCTTACAGCATTGGACAGACGGCACAGTATTCACTAAAGCCAGCATTTTAATAATGACATACTAATATACACAAAGTGCCATAAATACTAAAGCTCAAAGCAGTAACAGAGTACAATAAATGTGCATTCATAATTATAGAGTAAATCACAATCCAAACAAAAACATTTACCTTAGAGGGGTTTACAAGTAAATGTATTTCTTTTAAAGCTCTGAGATGTGAAACAGTTCTCCCCCAGAGGGCATCTCCTCAGAGGGGAGCATCTGCACCAGCAGGATGCCTCCACTGGATCTTTTGAATGAATGTAATATAGATGTTCAGGGGGGGTTACTGCAGCAGAATGGAAAGTCATGTTTAAGATAGCCTCATCTCAAATCAGGAATCATTTTCAGTGGAAAGAAAATGACTGGTGTTAATTTCCCTAGAGACAAACGATGACTAAATATGCTTTTTTACCTGACAAGACACCGCCAACATAATTTCCCCCTTGCTGTGACTATTTCAGTATGCATATTGTTTACTGAGCTTAAATATTGTTAATGAGGATAAACTAAAGAAATATTATAGAACATTTTTTTACGAATGCAACAATTCCGCTTTCTACGTAATACCGGCAAAGAGCACAGTTGGGAGTAATCCGATTACATTTGTTTAATTAAGTTAAAGGTAACAATGACATGTTGATATTCTGGTTACACTAGATTGACTGAAATGGACTTTCAAATCTGATGGCTAAAAAGAACAAGAACTCAGTTGAATTCATTGACAAATATATATATATATTTTTTCAATCTTCTCAAAAATGGCCCGACTTTTAATAAGACTTCTTCAACTCATCGGGATGAGGTTTAACATTATGAACAAAAAATCACAAATTGCACAAAACTAAGACAAGTAGCTGACAAAGTTAACACCGCTGGTCTCTTTGTGTTGCAGACCTCCTCCGGATGTTCTTTGACTGTCTGTATGACGAGGACGTGATCTCGGAGGACGCTTTCTACAAGTGGGAGACGAGCAAAGACCCTGCCGAGCAGGAGGGGAAGGGAGTGGCCCTCAAGTCTGTTACGGCCTTCTTCACCTGGCTGCGGGAAGCGGAGGAGGAGTCGGAAGATAATTGACGAGGGACACACCCGGGGGGAGGGTGGGGCAGGGCGTAGAAGAACTGCATACTTACAGCAGAACAAACAAACTTTCAAAATGGGTGTATGGGCAGACGACATGTTTTACGGCTGGAATTTTTTTCTGCGGTACGGTTCTGAAACATGCCGCCATTTTGAGTTTGGATTCCAACAGCTGAAGCACTAAATACCTGTATTATACATAGAAAATATTTTTGTTTTAAATTTTAACTTACGTTTGTTTTGTTACTTTTTAAGAAGAGACTTAAAAGATACATAGGTTCCGGACTCTTTAATTTATTATTTTTTTAAGGACTGCAAATATGAAAGTTATTTAACATTTGCAGATGCTCACAAATGAGAACAACAACAGAAATAACAATATAATTAATTATAATAACAAAATAATAATTGTGAAATAAATAGCCTCCCTGGATTCCACACTGTTTGGTTTAAAACAGGGTAAACAAAGTTATTTTGGGATGAAGGGGAAGCAGAGATAAAGAAGAGTGGATGCACAGAAACTATTAACGTTGTCCGTGTTTGACATTTCCAGGTCCAAGTCTTCTCCTAACAGGCAGAAAGTGTTTCCCTCAGCCTTGGCTTGCTCTACGTTGATATACATAAGCCTCATGACAGGTTAGAGGTATGCATTCAAGAAGCGATGCAGGTCTGTCCACAGAACTTTCAAAACAAACGCAGACGAACAAACCGGATACATTCAAATGAAACGAGCAAAAAATGCAACATTAAAAAGCAAATCGCCAGGGTCGCTCAATGTGAAATGCTTGTAATACTTCAAACTACAGAGCAGATAAAACTTGTAAATACATTAAAGACAAAAAAGGTATTTAAAAAGTGATTGTCATGATTTGTTCTTTTGATTGTTGGTGTCAAAATATATGTTGCTATATTTGTTTCTTTTAGTCCCTCTGATACAAATGAATCTGTGTGTTTTCAGTTTTTCCCTTTTTGGACAGCCGGTCCTCAGAAGAAGCTGAAGGATGTTTCAGAGCAGCTCCAGGCACTGATTTGTTCACCTGATTCTTTAAAGCAAAAATTGTTATTTAAATGTGTTGCCTCTCTATCATTGCCAGAGCTTTAAAATACTTGTGGAACTTAATTCTGGCTCACATTTGCTCACAGTTCTGACTATATTTTGTGTAGACGCAGTTGAGTAGCATGTATATTCATGATAAGCGAGTAGTTACATGGTTATCTGATCCCCAAATTTGTCCTGACCGGTCTCTGGAGAAGTGTCTTTACAGTAGTTTACTTTTTTCTGGTCACACAAAAAGCATTTTAAGGTACCCACAGTGAATGGTGACCGAAACTGACTAAGTGGCACAAAGTTCCAGGTTCACAATTGTAATTAATTGCTGCTACTCTGTTTTTGTACTATAAGGACCAAAAAAGTTAATTTAGGACGATGTGACAGCCATCTTTCACAATTTTCAAAAAATGACAATAATCCAGTAGTTGTGAAATAATTGGTTGATAAGTTAACATGATCATAATAATTACATTATGGTCCAAATTTAAACCACAAATAATGATCAGGGTATTAAGAACATTGAAGTATTTGTTAACCGATCTTGGTTTTTTCATTAAGGGCTTAACTTAAAAACTTTCCACAAAGAGGAAATGATTTTTCTAATGTTTAAATGTCTGTTTTACGATTAATGTGTGACCAATAGCCTACTGCTATTCATAAGAGCTGCGTTCCTAGTCGTTTTCACTTAGTTTTTTTTTTTTTAGATGACTACATCTCCCATGAGTCTTTGCCATGCACTACTATCCAAAACATTATGAGAGCTGTAGTCTTTAATACACTACGTTAATAATTGATTTATCTAGATTCAATTCAAAGTGTGCTCGAATTATATTGACCTGTATGGTAGAACATGTGGAATCGACTCAAAATATGGAAGTATTACTTCGATTGTAATGTTTATATAAATACTTTAAAAGATAAAAACGTTGGTTTGCTAGGTAGCCTCGGTGAGAAAGTACAAGAAATGTAAACTGTTAACGACGGCGGCCATGACAGTAGGGATCCTTTGACGTGACGCTGCGTGACCAACGGTCTTTGGGGCGGGGTTCATAAACGGAAATCTAAATAAAGGATCGTGCAGAATTTTCTTCAAAGTAACACACTTTTTCTCCACTAGTAAAAGGTAAGTTGTATTCGTGTTATGGTTCGTTACTAGCTAAATGTGTGTTTGCACGGATGCGAGGCTGGAGAAAAGCGTAGGCCGGTGTTTTTCCCCCCATGCAACTGAAATGAATTTTATCTGCCTTGTGCGACGCCATTACTCTGTGTATACCAAACGGACAAAATGGCGAAATTGCCCTAACATTTCTGGCAACTCATCTTCTGGCTCACGTGAAAAATGTTTGAAATGTATCGGCATAGGCTGGAGGATAAGCCGGACAGCAGTGCATGCCTTGAAGTGGTTGCATTTTGTGAAAACACACAGGCGCTTTTTCTTCTGTTTTAATGATAATGGGCCTCAATGAATGAAGTGGGTTTGGCAGTGTCGCCATGTTTATACACGCACGTACACAGAATGAGTCTAAAAAAAAACGGTGTGTGCTAATGAGCTTTCCTCCTTGTTTATGGATACATTTTTATTTTTCCTCACCCAGGCAAAGCTGGTGTGATGCCGATACGCCGAGCAGCAGCGTCTTCAACCCCGGAGAAGGCCCCCTCCGCTGCAGCAGAGGAAGGTGAGGCTGGGGTCGTCCATCACCTGAACTAAAGACCCGTGAACGCACCGTCATCACTGACACACAATTAACTGGCAGTCCAGTATTCAGCTCATGAGTGGGCATGCAAAGTTGGTTTATGCCAACGTTTCTGGATCTGAGAAGTGTCAGAATCAAACAATGCAATATGTTTGGTGCTAACATGAAGAGTTTAATTACAGCAGGGTAAAACAATATATTAGAGAAACATTTTTATGTTTGACAAGCAGCAGGAATCAAATCAGGGAGTTATAAATAATAAGGAGAAATATCAATTAATATTGTATTTCAAATAAGCATTCGTTGCGTATTTATGTGGGATATCGAATATTGCATTTTTGCAAAAGATATTGGGAATCACGGGAATAGTGATTTAATGTGACACACCTAATGACTTTATGAAACACAGGTATTTGTTTTGCATTTATTAATAGTCTATCTGACATTAACACAAAAGTTATTAATCCCTATTTATTGTTTCAAATACTATTATTTATGTTTTACACCACATTTTTGCGTCATAAAAAAACAGCCATAATTATTTGAATGTAATCAAAAATAACTATTAACTTTTTACTTTTAAAATGAACTTTTACAAAAGACTGTGTGCCCCTTTAAATATCTGCTTAACACGTATTGGCCCTTTGTGGCTTAACTACAACAGATAATGGTCTATCAGTAATAACAAGGTCAAGTAGTTCACCACAGTATGTAAATCAGTCAAAACAAGGAAAATCACATGCCGAAAAAAACTAACAATCCTGCATCAACCTGATCAGTGGCATAAGCATTCAAGGCCCTTTTAAGTGCATTTTTTAATAACGAAATACATTTATGTCCACATAAAACAGTTTTTAACCAAAACAAGTTGCTAACATTTATTTGTGGATGTTAACAGGTATTTATAAAACCATTTACATATTACTTATACATATTTAACTGATTTTGCAATTCAAAAATGCTGCTGTATTGGCTTTTCTTGATAGGGGCGGATCTACGGGGGGCAAGGGGGGGCAGCTGCCCCCCCACTGTAGAGCCTTGCTGCCCCCCTAACTTTTGTTTCCCTAAAACTGTACTAAAACAAACCTACACTATTTCCACAAGCAACGAAACAAGCATTACATTAGTTAAAAGTGAATCATTTTAAATATCATTTTAGGCCCGTTAAAAACGCAGCTACGGCCCTGCATTAACCTGCGGAGCGGCGTTCACACAGACCGCGGCTCACAGAGCTGCAGAGAGGGAACGAGCTGTCCCAGCACCTATGGATCAGCTTCCGGTGGGAGCATTTCTCCTTCCACTAGTTTTGTTTTTACTAAGGACGAGAGCTTGAAACTAAATATTAATAAAACGCTGCCGTTTGAATCGATAGCGTTTAACAGACGGGCGCTGTTTGGGGCGTTACGTTACAAAATGCTACGCAGACAGCGCTATTTCGGAGATCGATCACTTTGCTAAACTATGCGGTACTATTAAATCCACGTAAACTACACATCACAGCAATGAGGCCAGATCAATGAAACCAGGATCCTTTACCGTAAAAACTGGATCTAAACACAGCTGCCTGTGTGCATTTGAAAAATACTTTCTGATGTTATATTTATGATATGCTACTTATTAGCTACATGGCCCTAACGTGTAAAGTTATACAAGCATTTGTACCAGTGCTTTTCACAAGTAGACTCTTGCAGGCCAGAGTTGCTGGAGTGATTCAACAACAACAACAAAAAGACATATCTGAGAAGTGATCAGGACGAATAGAAAGAGGAAAAGGAAAAGAGAGTTCACTGAAGAGACCAGGAAGGTCAGAGCAGAAGGAAGAGGAGGAGGAGATGAAGACATTAGTGAAGAATAAGAAATGTATGTGAGGAAGCTGAAGTGTCAGAGAGAGGGACAGAGGCAGGGATCAGGAGGCAGATGAGACTCCAGCTGGACCACATGATATGTTCTTATTCTCCGTACATATTCCANTTTTACCTTTGTGTCCTCTTCACGGCTTCTGCCACCTTAAACCGCAAGACACCTGTCCCTTTGTGTGACATTTCCCCCCCACACACTCTCTCTCTCACACACACACACACACACACACACACACACACACACACACACACACATCCATTGAAAACCTCAGGGGGTTTCTGCCCAGTCATTTGGCACATTTTTGATGTTGAATAAAAAAAAAAAGACAAAATGAGAGGGAGAGAGGCAGGAGTGAGGAGGGAGCAATCTAAGCTTTCCACTTCACTGAAAGGCACTCTTTGTTGAGCACTCCTCTGCAAAACCCCCCTCAACACAACCCTCCCTTCGTATCCACCCTTCTTCCCCCTCCCGTCCCTTCAAAAGCCCGGGTGGATTTTTCATTAAATGCTATCAGAAATGTGACTGGTCCTATTCATGGGCAGATGGCGGGCTGGAGACCAATACCTTCACTGGAGACTGACAGGAATCTTGGCTGTAGGTGAAGGACCTGACAGAGAAAGCAAATCGGTTTTCCCAAGGTTTTTCATTGTGTTTCCAAATACGCTTGATATATTACTTTGGACAAATGTGTTCTCGCTCTGATTTTCTCCAAGTCAGACCTCCTTTGTCTGCAGAGAAAAGAAAAACAACCTCACATTTGTTCAATTCAAAAGGGCAGCTCAGAGTTTTCACCCTCTGTTCTCCAAGTAACACCTCCTTGTGCTCATTTTTTTAAAAGCTACTTAAAGAGTTAAGAGCACTTTGCCTAAACAAAACAGCACATTGTGCCGCTGTTTCCCCACACAAACAAGGTGACCAGATCCATGCGCTGTTCATTTCTCACCAAAGGACAGAGATGAACCTCTCATATTGTTAGAGAGCGGTCGATTATGTCACGGGACAAAGGGAAGGCATCGGGTTGGAAGAAAACACAAACAATGATTTCCGCAACAGCAATTTAATCCTCTGGCGTTAAAACCTGACACAAAGTGGACAAAGGCGAGGAGGCTGGCACGAATGAACCTCTGAATCTGAAGATTAAGCAGAAAAAACGAAAAGAGGATCCTTTGTGTAAAAAGGCCCTTTATCTGCTTTTGAAGTCTGTGAGACCTGCCAGCCTCTCTTTGTAGGCGGCCCCCATGTCCCACAGC